TCTCCACCGAGGACAAGAGTCGGAGACCACCTGCGAAGGGACCCTTGGAGGCTGCCCACCCAGGTGAGAGGCTTAGGGGAGGGGAGGAGGCCGCGCAGGAGGCGGGCACAAGTAAGGTGAGGGAGGTGGCAGGGGACAGATCTGGCCTTTCCTTTTCTCAGCGCTCCCAAGATGCCTGGCTGACTTCCTAGCCCCGCTGCCTAAGTTCTTTCCCGTGCTGCCTGATTTCCATGCTCCCCTAAAGGACTTCTTTGCCTCATTGCCAGATTCCTTTGGCCCCCTGCCTGGTTTCCTGAGGTCCTCACCTGACTTCCTAAGCCCCCCTTCATCTGGCATTTTAATCTCCTTTTTCCGATTTGTTAACTCGCCACCTTGATCTCTTGGTTCTGCGGCCTGATTTTTCAAGCTGCCTCTGGAGGCTTTTCTTTCTTGGGCCGCCTGGGCTTTTGTTTTCCGGTTCTGGGCTGGGAGGGATTGATGCTGTCTTTTTTCCGTTACCCCACACGCACAGAGGCCGTGCCCCCCGGGAAGCGGGTGGAAAACAAGATCCGGGTGCCTGTGCGTTACTGCATGTTGGGCAGTCGCGACTCTGCCAGGTCAGACACACCGTGTGCCCGCCGCCACCAACCCCTGTCCCCCCGCCCACCCCCCCGCTGTGTGCACTCGCTCCGCAGGAGTGGGGGCAGCCCGAGCAGGAGTAGGGTGGGCACAAGGCCTCCCGTGCTCAGAGCTGGCTCCGGAGGCCTGGGGAGCTAGCTCCTGAAGCCGTGGGACCCTCTGGCTCCAGCAGGAACCCCCACACACTGGTGGAAGTAACATCCTTCGCTGCCATCAACAAGTTCCAGCCGTTCAACGTGGCCATCTCCAGCAACGTGCTATTCCTGCTGGTGCGTGCCCCATTGCCACCTTGTCTCTTGTGGGCCTAGGCCAGGCCAGGCCTGGGCAGGTGGCTGGGGCACCTGGGAGGGGTCCCTGGAATGTTAGCTCTATGAGGGCAGGGACCTTGTCTGCCTATCACTGCTGGTAAACAGTAGGCACTCAAGGTTTGAACCTAGGAGGTGGGTGGGGTGGTCCCTGCACATAGCATGGGCTCTGGCCCTGCGGATAGACATTTGGGGCTGGGCCGCAGCCTGAGCCGCTCTTCCGATGTCCATCCCCTCCCCAGGACTTCCACAGCCACCTGACTCGCAGCGAGGTCGTGGGGTACCTGGGGGGCCGCTGGGACATCAACAGCCAGAGTGGGTATTTGGGGCCAGGTGGGCAGGGGGGTGCTTGGGGCCGGGGATGATGTCTACACCTTCTCCCCACCTCTGCGCAGTGCTCACGGTGCTGAGAGCCTTCCCCTGTCGGAGCCGGCTGGGGGATGCGGATATGGCCGCCACCATGGAAGAGGAGGTTAGGGGACACGTGGGGTCCAGGTGTTCTGGGGAGGGCGGGGGTGGACACAGCTGTCCTGGCTGACGTGTCCTGGTGGCTAGCACGGTGTCCTAGTTCAACAAGTGTGCAAATGTGTGCGTGTGTGAGTGCCCGCCCCGTGGCTGTGAGCCCGCGGACATCCTTCCTCTGGGCACAGGTGGCCCGCCCCCTTTGCCTCTGGACCCCCGTCTGCATGCCGGGCCGGCGTGCAGTGACAGCCCCGTGAATATCAGCTGCCACTCTAGCAGTGCTTGCCCGGTGCGGCCTTGCGTGTGCCCGGCGCTGTGCCAAGCGTTCCACACCCGCCTTCTCCCGGCCCGGCTGGCTCTTGCGCGTAGGCCCCGCTCGCCCCTACTTGCTTCAGGCATCCGGAAATGCCAGTCCTGCGCAAGTGCGCACACACCCACCTAGCTCCTCACTTAACTATTTGAGTGCCTACTGTGTGCCAGGAATTATTCCACGAGCTAGGGACACCGCAGGGCCCCCAATAAACTTCTGCCTTTGCTGTGGTGACAGGTGCGTCTTTTTCTTAATGTATTTGTTGACTGTGCCCCCTCCACTGGCCTCATGGAGGGTGGGGGCAGGGTCCTGGCCACCGCTGCGTCCCCGGGCCTGGTACACAGCAGGCACATACTCAGTGCTGGCCTCACATGGGGACGGAACGCGGCAGGTGTGCGCACACACGGGCTGGTAGAGCCCCCGGCCTGCGCCGCCCGGCCCCAGCCTCGCCTGTGCCCCCCAGATCTACCAGAGCCTGCTCCTGCGGGGCCTGTCCCTGGTGGGCTGGTACCACAGCCACCCGCACAGCCCCGCGCTGCCATCGCTGCAGGACATCGACTCGCAGATGGACTACCAGCTGCGCCTGCAGGGCTCCAGCAACGGCTTCCAGCCCTGCCTCGCGCTGCTCTGCTGTAAGTCCGGCTGCCCGGCGTGCGTGCGCGTGCGCGTGGCCCTCCTGCGCCGCTGACCCCCTCCGGGCCCAGCCCACTCTCACTCTCCCCCTGCAGCCCCTTACTACTCTGGCAATCCGGGCCCCGAGTCCAAGATCTCCCCCTTCTGGGTGATGCCGCCGCCCGAGGTAGGCGGGGCTGCTGGGAGAGGCGGGGCCGGGAGGGGGCTGGGGCCTCGGTATCTGCTGTGAAATGGGAACAGAACCCCTGCACTCTCTGGGCTTCTGGTGAAGGCCTGGGCCGTGAGGGACGTTGAAAGGGTGTGCGCTCCACCCGGAGCATGCTGCGCCTGTTGCTAAGACGGCCTCCTTCCCGAAGCTGTCCTGGGGTCGGAAATGGGGTTTGGAGAGCCATTCCCGACCTCTCGTGCGGGGCGCAGGGCCACGTGGCCCTGAAGCTGGTCGCAGCCTCGATTCTCCCCTTGCTGGCCCAGGGCACATCCCTCATGGGATGGGGCGCTGGAGGTGGCTGGTGGTGACCGGCTTGTGTCCCTGCCAGCAAAGGCCCAGTGACTACGGCATCCCCATGGACGTGGAGATGGCCTACGTCCAGGACAGCTTTCTGACTAATGACATCCTGCATGAGATGGTGAGCTCACTTCCGGGAGGGGAGGGCGGGGCTTCGGGGCCCCCGCGGGACGGGGCGATACTGCAGGACTCATCGGAGCAGGGGTCAGACTCCTCTTCCGCGGCCGAAACTCAAGTCCCAGATTCTTGCCCACCTGCCCCCCGCCGCCCTCCCCCCCAACCTGGCCTCCTTGCTGTTCTGGAACTTGCTGGAGGTGCCGCGGCCTCGCGCCTCTGCACCTGCCACTGATTGAAGACCCGTGAGGGATTTCAGGTGGTGCCCAGATGAATGTTTTCAGCGCCCACATTCCAACAACCGTTTTAAAAACAGCTAGTGGATCACACCTGTGGAATTGCGGATCCGCTGTTGCGTGGGAGGCGGGGGCGGGTCTGTGGGGACATTCAGAACCACTGGTGCTTCCCTCTGCCGGGGGAGGGGGTGCCCCTCCCGCCTCCCCCTTCCAGGGCCCTCCTGCGAAGCTCCCTTATTTCCCGCTGGTGGCGCTCCCGGATGGTCTGTCCTGGGGTCCCGGGTAGCGCCTGTGTGCTGTATAGGACTGGGAGCCCCCCGAGAGGCGGCGGTAGGCGCCCGTGGTGCTCGCTGCTGTGTCCCGAGCGCCTGCGCAGGAGGGCGGGCGCCAGGGGTCCCATCGGTCCCCCGTCCTCCAGATGTTGCTGGTGGAGTTCTACAAGGGCGCCCCGGACCTCGTGAGGTTCCAGGAGCCCTGGAGCCAGGAGCACACGTACCTCGACAAGCTGAAGGTAAGACTCATGCCCCGTCTCCTGCAGAGGAAGACAGTTCTTGGGGAGCCCCGAAGGCTCTATCCAGGGGCAGCCTGAGAAACGGTGCTGTCCTAAACTGTTCTGTATAAAGTACTTCAGCTGGATATGAAAGCTTGCTCGGCCACGTGTGGGTGGTGACAGTGACCGGGAGCACTACTGGAATGCAGCTGCAAGCGTAAAGGCCCGCGGACCCTGGGCTGGGGAGAAGCTACGCTGGGGCCGTCTCTCCGCTTGGGCGCCCGCGGGAGCGCACAGGGGGCTGCAGTCCGAGCGCAGCCGGTACCCTGAGGGGTTTCTCCAGCTCGCCGGCCCTACAGTCATTTAGGGGGACACATAAGGGCTTGGTGGCCTGGGGGGGGGGCGGTTTCTGACTGACTTCTGACATGGAAGTCCTTCTCAGAAGGCACTTTCAACTCTACTAGCTAGAGAAATGCAGTTTTGCATGCTTGTTTTGTTCAAACTTAGAGTGACCAGAACTTCAAGCTGCCACGGGTCCCCTCCACCCCATCACTGGGCGGGTGGGGTCAGGGGTGGCTCTCCACGCAGGGGGTGTGAGAGCCTGGCAGGGAGGCAGCTGGGGAGAGAGCAGGATGTGGAATGTGCAGAGAGCACCCCCTTCCCCCTGCCAAAACCCAGAACACTGCAAGGGGGGGCTGCCTACTTTAAAAATAAAACGTTTTCGGGACACTACTGTGTAGTAGAGCCCCTCTACCAGGACGGGGGGGGGGCGCAGGACCACTGGGCCCAGCCCTGAGGCGCCAGCCCTGCCCGTTTCAGATCTCCCTGGCCAGCAGGACACCCAAGGACCAGGGCCTGTGCCACGTCCTGGAGCAGGTCTACGGCCTCCTTAAACAAGGGAGCTGAGGCACCACCACCTCCGAGGGCCTCTGGTCAGATTCTGAACCCCCAGTGGTTCCGGCTCAGGGGGAATGGGTCTGGGGGCTTTGTTTGTGGCACAGATAATAAAGGGGAGAAGCGAATAGCCTGGGCGTGTGTCTCACCTGGGGCTGCCTCGCCGTCCCCGCACTCATCATTGGGCACATGGGTGGCTGTCTGGGCAGCGTGGCACCTTGGCCGGTGCACGAGGGGACGCTTTTCGTGCAGCCGTGGTGTGGGCTTCCCGGGGCCAGGGCTGGGCAGGGGACAGCTCGCCCTCCCTGGCTCCTGGGGGGGCAGGTACCCTCCCCGGGAGTGGCCCTGCCCTGACAGGGGACGCCTCGGGGGAGCCGTGAGGGTCCAGGGGACCTGGGGGAAGACCCACCCCCACCACAACCAAGCGAGAGGCTCTAGAAAGAGACCTTTAATACTTTTTTTAAAAAAATCAGGATTACATTTTGATCTGCCCTTGATTGTGACCAAGGCTACGCTGCTCATTCTTTGCTGGGAGGTCGGTGCCTCCCCCCCGGAATGGCAATGGTGGGGGGGGAGGCTCAGGCAGGAGCAGAGCTTGGTGTCCCTAGGGCTTTGCTGAGTCCTCAGAGGAGGGGGGAATGTGATCCAGTCCCGAAGTCCCCCAGTTGAGCCAATTTTTGGACGAGGCAAGAGAGCAAGTGGATGCAGGGCTGGGCCCTGCTGGTCAGGGCAGCTGCCTGCTTGGGGCCACTGTCAGCTGCGGGCACAGCGGCCGGCTCAGGAGGGGGAGGCGCCTGTGACCCTCTCTTGAGGGTAGTCCCAGCAGCCAGGGGTCTGGGAAGATGCCTCAAAGCCTGTGTACTGGACCTTCAGCAGAGCAGAGGCTGCAAGACTCCTGTGGTCCCGTCTGCGGGGGCACACGGGTGTGCTGCGTGCACAGCTGGTGGTGGCAGCTCGTGCCCGAGAAGAACGTCTGTGTGCTTGTCTGGGGTGGGGCACCCTACACGGGGAACTGAGGAGAGGGTGCAGGACGGGGGGAGGGCACCGGCGTGCAGGGCTGAGTGCCCTGCGGGAGGGAGAGGACAGCCACTCCAAGGCTGCTCAGGGAAGGGCCGGTCTTTAGGGGAACCCTGAGGACCCCAGGATTGTGTCTCCCCAGGGAGGTGGCATCCCGGGTGTGCCGGGGCCTGGGGAGGCCTGGAGTTGGGGCTGGGAAGGAGTGCTGTGGGGAAATTTAAAAGCAGGGGTGGCGAGTCTTGGCCGCGGGTCCTGCTCAGAACACCCAGCGGCACAGATGTTCCAGCTCATCCTGTTAAGGGCAGGTCTCCTGGGGGGTGGGGGCCGCCCCAGAATAGAGGGGACGAAGGAGGGACAGGACAGGGTGTGTGTGCACACACATGTGTGCGTGTGTGAGTGAGGGGGCCCACCTGGAGTTACCCGTTCCTGGACGGGCGGGAGGAAGTTAGTGTTTCTAAGAGCACCTTAGTGTTCGCCCCCTCGGGGCGCGGGGCTGGGGAGATGCAGTCAGGGAGCAGCCCCGGCCCAGACTGCTGCGTGGAGAGGGGGCTGGGGGTGAGCGCTACTGTCAGCGGTCCCCGCCTCCCCCGCCCCTGCTGACCCCCGAGGGGGGGCCTGCCTCCCCACCCCACCCCCAGCCCCAGGAGCGCCACAGACGCAGGTGGGATGCAGGCCGTGTGGACCGGGCCGACGCCCTCACTGTGGCAGGGGCACCAGCACCTCCACGTAGCTGAGGGGGAAGAAGCCCGACTGGCCGTGGAGCATACCCTCGTACCAGTTCTCATCGATCTGGTTGGTCAGCGTGATGACGTCGCCCTCGTGGAAGCCCAGCTCCCCGGCGTTCTCAGGCTCGAAGTCGTACAGCGCTTTGCAGCTCGGCTGGTCCAGGGGTGCTGGGGGCAGGGGCTCGGCTCAGACCCCTGGCTCCCTCCCACCCCGCCCGCCCCAGCCTGGTCGTGGCCCCTGAGGGACAGCTGCCGCTTCCTCTGCTGCCCCCCAGCCTTGTCAGAAAAGAGGGTCAAGGGAAAGAGGGACATAAACGGACTCCAAACGTGCTCCTGGGAAGAGCTGGGGACGCCCAGTGGCATCAGGGTGAGAGAATGACCAGAAGCCCTCAGGCGGCCACTTGGAGAGCCTAGAGGCTGTTGGGACACCCTTGGTGTTCACGGGAGACCCTCACGCGGATGGGGAGGCCCAGAGAGGCCGTGCTGTGCCGTGCAGGCCCAGTGCCTAGCTCCTCCCCTGCCCGAGATGGGCCAAGAGGACCAATCCCAGGGGCATCCGCGTCTACCAGAGAAGGGTCCTTCTGAACAGACCAGAAGGCAGTGTTATGCACTGAGGTGGGGAGCTTGTGAGGGCAGGGCCTGTGCCCGCAGGGACACTCACGCATGCTCCTGCTAGGGGTCCGGATGGGCTTGTCGGAAGACCGGAAAGATGACGAAGCTGCTCGCAGACAAAGCAAAAAGTGGGGCTGAGAACCTTGGGCTGGGCCCCTTCCCCAGAGGGAGTGGGGTGGGCCTGGCTCCGCAGTTTGGACAGAGCAGCGGGCTGGGGGCGGCCCCTTCCCCCTCCTTACGTGTGATCTTGGGGGCCGTGGCACAGGGGAAGCCCCCATTGGACTGCTCAGGCTCCCCAAGGTCGAAGGACTCCCGAGGCTTGGGCTTGTATTCCCGCTTGGGACGAGAGGAGGCTTCCCGCATCCTGCAGGCAGGGAGGGAGAGCTGTGAGCAGCCAGCAGCGCCTGAGTCCTGTGTGTGCCAAGGTAAAGGGACACCTCCCTCCCCACCGTTGATGCTGCTGTCCAGGACTTGGGGTGGGGGGAGGGACCCCCGAGACCAGGCCTGGACTCAGAGGCCCAATGGGTCTAACCAAAGGGCCTCCCAGTTGGTCAGCTCCCCCAGCTCAGGCCCTTCTTAGAGGCTGCCAACTGGCCAGTTCCTGCCAAACCCTGCAGCCCCCTTAGCATGCCCACCTGACCTGGGGACACGGCTGCCCAAGGCTGTCCTTCTCAGGCCCTAGACTAGTGACAGCTCTCAGAGGGGAGCCCCGTCCGCCCCGGCCCTGGGTAACCCACCCCCTCAGGCCCAGAGCTCTGAAGGCCTCTTTCTTCTGGCCTCCCAGCCTCAGGTCACTCCAACCCTCCCCTCTGACAACTGCGGCAAGCCTGATGAGGTCTTGCTCCCTCCCGGAGCCCCCACCTACGAGTGCAGTCTGGGGATTCCTATGAAAAGAAGCCAGCCCCCTGCTCTGACACAGGCTCCAAGCAGGGCTGGGCTGTCGAGGAGGCTGGCGGTGGGGTCTTGGAAGCCCTGAACGGCCGCCCAGGAATCCACGGGGGTAACTCTGGGCTTCCAGGGCACCCCGGCCCAGCCCAAAACAGGACAGGCTCCCACAGGGAAGGCCAGGGGCTGGGGCTCACCTTCGCTTGAGCTTGTCGGCCAGCTCGTCCAGGATCTGCACGGCCTGCCGGTGGTAGTCCAGCTGGGCATCCACCAGTGCGGAGAGCTGGCTCACCTGCTCGATCTGCAAGTGAGCAGCCCGCTAAAGGGGTGGCCCTCCCTGTGACCCCTACCCCCAAGGCCCCCTCTTTTAGGAAGTCTTGCTAGATGCTCCCGGGACAGGGGCTGGCCCCCTCCCCATCTGCCTGACCCCTGCGCTGCTGGAGGAGACCCGAAAGCTTTGGGGGCGGGTAGAGGCCCCTCGGGTCCGGCAGCTGCCCCTTCAGGCTCAGAGCAGGGGCTGAGCCCGCTATGGGCAGGGCATTAGTGACTCTGCCCACCGCCCCGCTTTTTTTGGGGGGAGGCAGACGCACATCGGTCTCCAGGAGGTTGTGCATGCTGGTCTCGGCCACCTCCTTGGACTCCTCAAACTTCTCCAGGGCCTGGCGCAGCTCTTCGTCAGGGATCCTGCCCTGTCGCTTCTTCTTGTAGTCGAAGTCCAGGCGGCGGCCCTCCAGCTTCTTCAGGTGGTGCTGGGGAGGGGGGGGAAGGGCAACAGAGCTGTGAGGTACATGCTGGGGTCTGTAGGAGGACGGGCACACTGGGTGGGGTGGAGAGGTGGGGGAGCAGGGTTGTGAGGCACCTGCCCTGGGGGCTGTGTGAGGGTGGGCACGCTGGATGGGGCATGGGGTGCGCAGCACCTGGATCTCCTTCAGGTCTTTGTCACACAAGTTCTGTAGGGGGTCGATGAAGTTCTGCTTGACCTCTATGTCCAGAGAATCCTTCACCTCTGCCAGGCGCTTCATGGACTCCCCCGCGTCCAGCAGGGCATCCCCTGCAGCAGGGCAGGGATTGGGAGAGAAGCTGTCATAGGAGGCCAGGGCCTCGGGGCCCAAGATACCCCCAACTGCTAACCTGCCCTCACCCCAGGGCCCAGACGCCAGAATTCAGGACAAAACAAGGGTCCCTGAAGTCTGAGCCCCAGCAGCTGGGAGGAGTTGGCGATGACGGGTGTCAAACCTCCCACGCCCCCCACCCCATGGCTTCCCCCGCATTAGCTGTGGCTCGAGGGTAGGCTTTCCAGTGGCCTTGGCCCTACAGGCAACACTCCGATGCTCGCTCACCACCACTGAGGAAGGAAAGGTGTTCTTGGGAGCCTCAGTCACCCTCGCCCAGGGGATTAACGGGCACGGTAGAAGACTCTGGAGCAGTGGCAGGGAAGTGGCATCCCACCGTCCAGTGCCAGACGCTCTGGCCCTCCAGAGCCCTCACCGAAGTTGGACTCGCCGCCCAGCTCCTTCCCGTGGCGGATCATGCACTCGCCCAGCAGGCCCTCTGACTGTGGGTAGCCAGGGTTCTTCACCTGCCCTCGGATCTTGGACACCGTGTTGAGCATCGTCAGCTTGGCCCGTGAAGCTGGAAGAGAACAGGCTGGGTAGGCATGCGGCCAGTCTCTCTCGAGAACCAGGCCTGCACTTGGCCAGTGCTGCTGGCTGCCTCCCTCTCCCCAACACCCTTATTTTTAAAGCGCTGCCCTGACCCAAGGAAGCTTGGTTCCTATGCCTGCTGATGGCCAGGCTCCGAGGAGAACCTCCTACATAGACTTCCCTCCTCTGCTCACCTCGGCCACAGAGGAACATTGGCAATGGGCAGGTGGCTGGTTCCTCTGGACCCCACGGGGTCTCCTCGTTCTAGAGCACAGCTCCGATCACAGAAGCTCCCTTCCCTGGCCTGGGGAGTAGCACCCCAGAGAAGTAGGGGAGCAGGTATAGGTGTGTATAGGTCCAGGTGCCCCAGACATAGCCCCCCAACCTGGCGTCGGGGAGGAGCTGTGCGCTTGCCTCTGCCCGCTCGGGTCTGTCCCTGGCCCGGGCCGCGAATGGACCTGGCTGGTGTTGCTGCCGGTCCCACATCAATCACCTCCTTCTATGGGAACCCAGATATGGATTTTCCTCAGGGAAAGGTCCTCATCTCTCTCTCAGACTAGGAGACTCCCACCTCATGCTCCAAAGTGGGCCTGGCAAACGGGTGGGCAACCAATTCAAACTGGTCCAGTGAGTTGGTGAGGTGGAAAAGATGCTCTTTTCAGCTGGGACTATTAGCTGTAAGGGTGATTTCGGACTAGGGTTGCCACACAGAACGAGAGCTGCCTGATGAAGTGGAAAGGAAATGCAGGACTCTGAGGACATCCTTTGGGCCCTTGGATCCAGCCACCCATGAAACCCGCCTGCCTACTCCTGGGCACTTCAGTTCTCTGAGCTCACACATTCCTTCTTAGGCTCCGGTAACCGGCCGATTCCTGGCTGACACGGACCCCTCCTAGCTGGCTGGCACCCCTACCTGGGTTGGGCTGCAGGTACTCAATGGTTCTGGCCAGCACTTCTGTCACAGCCTTGCTGGTAACATCCACCTTCTGTCAAGAGAGGCAGGGTGTGGGCTTTCGCAACCATCGGGGTGCCAGAGGCCAAACCTGGCATCCCTGGACAGCCCGTGCCCTGCTCCCCGGCCCCACCTGCCTCAGAGCCCACACAAGAACGGCATGCTGCGCTCAGGGCTGCTGGCCTCCCTGCCTCCCAGGGCCGGGGGACCCGTCCATCCATGAGCCCCCCCGTGGCCCAGCTGTAGGGCTGCTATGGCCCGTGAGGGTAAACGGCGCCGGGCATCAGGCGGGCCGCACCACCTCTCCTGGTACCTTCTCCATCTCTTTGAAGTCTTCATCAAGCTTGGTCCCTTCGGCCCCTCCGACCTTCTCACTGACCAGCTGGGGGACAGGAGGGAAAACAGTGTGAGCCTCAGACAAGGAGGGGGCCCAACTATGCCTTCCAGCCACGTCCACTGCCAGGGGGAGCCAGTGAAGGGGTCAGCACATCCATGACTGCTTCCCAGGGACACAGCTGACGGCAAGATGGGTGGCCAAGTGAGACCCTGCTTCCACACCCACACCCTCCTTGGATCCCAGGGCGGGGTGGGAGGGTGGTGCCTCCTGCTGGAAGCCTTCCCTGGCCATGCCTACCCCTCGAGTGCCCACCATCCCCAGAGACCTGCCTGGTGCCAACCGCAGCTGAGTGATGTCCTCTCTCAGGGCCAAGGTGCCCACACCCAGACAGTGATGCCATGGTTCAGCTCCAGGAGTGGGGAAGAGGTTCATCAGAGCCTCTTTGCTCGGGGATCATACACCTCCCTTTCCCCCACTGAATTCCTGCCTCTTTGGAAAGGAATCCTGGGAACCCTGGGGCCGGCACTTCCCCAAAATACATTCTCCCCGGGCACCTCTGGGAAATGAGCAGGTCTGTGGTGGGGAGGAGGTCCTGCGGCTGAATGGACATGGGAATGACCCAGTCCATCGCTTTGTGCCCGCCCCCGCAACAGGGTCCAGAGGAGACAGGGCCACTTCCCCAGTGGGTCGGGGGTTCCTGCTTGGCTGAGCTTGGGAGTCAGGAGGGGCCTGGGGTGCAGGTGAGCTGTGAGGCCGCTGCAGTGGAGGGACAGGAAGGAGGCAGGGCTGGTGCAGGGCCTGCCTGGTGACTGACTGCCACCTGCAGCGGCTCAGGCCCCGTGCCATCCTCTAGGGGACCCTGCAGGACGGGCAGGGGCTGCCCTCCTGCTGCTAGCCACTCTTAAGGAAAGACCCTGGTTGCTCCCTAGGCATTTATGGGGCGTTCCACTTTATTTCATGGGACAGTTTCACTTCTTTTGATGATGGTAAAACAGGACGTTCTCAAATTCAGTGGTTGCCAGAGAGGGAAATGAGTTCACTGCCTGACGTGAGACAAGACTCTTCTGGTGAACTGGGAGGGAGATGAAGCGTAGGTGCTCAAAACCACACCTTCCGGGGCCCCAGGACCGATGGCCCGCTCAGTGCAGGAGGACATGTCGCGGGGCAGACAGGGACAGGTCTCCCAGGCAGAAACCACATCCTTTCCCTAACGGGAGGAGCACGAGCAGACCCTGCAGGCTGCTGGGGGCGGGTGGGGGGCATGAGTGGCGCCTCCCTGTCTCCCCAGAGCCCTCATCCTCAGGAACTACGTGTGGGGCTGGATTTACCAGGCTGTCCTTGCACCCGGGCACACAGGAAGCCATGCTGGGCCCCTACCAGTCTCCCTTCCCCCCGCCTGGGAGCTCTGGGCTCAGGTCCCTCAGGTAGCAGACGATCATTCCCCATGTCCTTTCTCTTCAAGGCTCACAGTCTTGGAACCGGCACAAATGGATAAAAGGATGACAAGAGGCCAAAAGGGAAAAGGGAAAATCAAAGAAGTCCAAAGAAGAGCCGCGGCTCTGAGTGTGGGGCTCCCCAGGGTGCAGACCATGTCCGGCGGAGAGGGACCTGACTGGTCCATGGGAAGAACTGTAAGTGGTGTTGATAACAAGGACGAACCTTTGGGTATGAAGAGCAGGTATTTCTAGGGACCAAGGCCTCCTGTCACTGAGCAGCCAGCCCTGGAGACTCAGCGGTTGGGACGCTGCCTGGGTGGAGGGGGCAGGAGGGCCCCAAAGGGCCCTGCCCATGGGGAAGGCTACGACCCTGACATTTCAGTCCCGCTCAGGAAAAATGCACACACATTTTCAGATCCAACGAGAGCAGCAGATACCACCATGGAAATAACACCTGTAAAACCTGCACCGCACACAGAGCCCACCTCCCACCCTCCCTCAGTCGGGGCTCAGCACAAGCCGATTCTGCTCCCACGCGGGGCGGGAGGGAACAGCCGAGGTGCCTGGTGGGCCCGCAGTGCCCAGGGCCTGTCCCCCACTGGCTGAGCCCTGCAGGGCCGTGACCGCGGCAGTGTGTGCAAACTGCAGCCTCCCGGGCCCCACCCAACTGCATCAGAGCCTGAGTCACTAGCAGTGATCCCATCATGGCTGCTGCTGTGAAAGCCGGGCTGGCGCCTCCTTGGGGCCAACATGAAGCCCAGACCGGGCCGGAACCTTCTCCAGAACCCTGCCCCGGTTCGGGAGCCAGTCTGCGCCCCAAGTGGCCCCCACCAGGTGAGACCCAGGGGCTGCGGAAGAGGCTACCGCGCAGGGGGACCTGGCGGCGGCCTCCGGAGATGAGCTCCCCATTGCCCACCGGATGCTTCCCGGCTTTTTGCGAGACTGGCTCAGTGACTGTGTCCACGTAGGGCCTAGAGTGGGGTCTCTCCTGGGGGGGGCTGGGCACCCTGAGCAGCGAGGCCCCCGTGTCTGTCATCAAGATCCTGCTGGCCTCCCCCACATCTACCAGTCATGAGTTCCCCTTGGATGAGTTTTAGTGCCAGCACTTCGATCCAGCTTCAGGACACCCCCAGCGGGCAGGAAGTTCCCTCTCTTCTCTCTGCTGGCACCTCTTCTGCAAATTGCACACACGAGCTCACGCCGTATGTTTGGCCAGACTGATACTACCCCCGTACTACTGTTGACTTTTGGGAAAAGCATGCTCTGCCTCCAGCCCGGGTGGCAGGCGCTCCAGGATGGGACAGGGATCTGTGGCTCTGAGTGCCTTAAGTTCAGGCTGCAGAGGTGGGTGCTGCCGGGTAGAGAGCAAGAGGCCCTGCTCCTGTATGCCTCTCTGCATGCCCGACCCCCTCTTGCTTTCTGGCAACTCCCCGGGCCCGGATCCCACCTGGCCTTTGAATGATCACACTGGCAATGACGTGTCCGCATCGGGCAGACAGAGGCCTGTCACAGGCTCCTGCATTTATGAGCAGCAGGGCCACGTCAGCTGATGGTACCCCCTGCGAACTGGGCACCTGGGAGGTGAGCCAGCCTGGAACAGAGCTGGATCGTCACCCAGAGCACCCACGTGACTTCCATGCACAAGTGTTGGCCTGTGGGCATTAATAGTAAGACCAGTTAGGGGAGAGGCTGTTCTTTCAAAGACTGGTGTTATCACTCCAGATTTTGGCATCTTGGGGGAGAAGCAAGGAATCTGACATTCGGGAGAGAAAGCATATGCAGTGGAAGGATCCATGAAAGGAACTGGGGAGCTGCTGCGTGCCAGGAGCCAGCAGGGCGGCCCCTCCAGTAGCGAGCCGAACACGGAAAGTCAGAGAAGCTGCTTTCACAGGGGCGAGCGGATGACGGCCAACTGCACTGGCGGGCACGTCTGCCATGGCCACTTGCTGGTAGCTGCGGAAGCAGTTCGAATCCTGTGGGGTGGGAGGAAGCCAACATCAGGCCTCCAACTGAATCATCTCCGCAGGGAAACCTGATCAACACACGCGACACGGAAAATGAAGGGGCCAATCTGCAGGCTCCGTGACCTGGGCAGATGGCCTGCTTTGATGATGTGAGGGTTTAAGAGAAAACAAGAGGAGGAAGCTGGCACGGAGGTGCTGGGAGGAGGGGAGATGTGCAGGGCTGCTCAGGGCTGCACTGTCCCGGAGGGGCACCGTGTGTCCCTAACTCCAGTGTCCTGCACCTCGTCCAGCCACCTTGTGTTTGGGGGCCACCTGAGACGCTCCAGGACCACCTCCCAGGGTAACATTGGAGGTCACCTGAATTCTCCTGGCCCAGGCTTCCCCTCCTGCCTCTGCGTAGCTTACTTCTCCCTGCCCATCTGTGGGTGCCAGGATGACCTTTCCCTCACCAGGCATAGAGGGGAGAAGCTGCTTGTCGGCACTGCTGGAGAGCCGGAGTGAACGGCACAGAACAGGTGACCGAGACCAGGGCCCCGGGGCAAAGGGGGCCTTGAGGGTCCAGGCCCAGCCACTCTGGCTATGGCCCTACATGAGCCATCCTGAGATCTGGGCCAGTGAACAGGCCTCCTGGCTCTCGGGTGTGAGCACGGCTGCCTCGTTAGCGATGGCTGTCAGAATGGGGCCAGCACCAGCTAATGACCACATTACGTGATGATCTGTGTCTAAAGCAGGAGGGGATACAGAAGGGGCACGAGAGTCTGTCTCCTGGCCTTGGGGAGCAGCCCTCTGGCGGGGGAGGTGAGAATGTCCGATATAACAGCAATTCAGAGAAGAACACGGTGAGAGTCACAAAGGAGATGTAAATACGCCCAAAGGGCAGCAGGATGTAGCTGCAAGCTGGATGAGCCACACAGCCAGTGCTATCCGAGCTGGACCTGAAGGGCAGGGTCCCAACTGGCAGAGCCGGGCCAGGCGGGCAGAGAGAGCTCTGGGTTCCGGGTGAGATGCAGGTTTGGGGCACAAGGGTTACCATTCCTGGCCAACTATGTGCCAGACACTGTGTAGGTACACGCACTGTATCTACTTGATGAGGGTGCAGGGACCAGCCAGCCCACTTCACGGATGAGGAAACCGAGGGGTGAGAGGCTGTGGAGCTGTAAGTGGAGGACATGGGTGCTGTGCCCAGACCTGTCGGACTTGCCAGTCCACCTGCATTGTGTCCTGTGCTGGAAGACTGGGCAGCAATAGGATGTGGGTGAAGCCTGGGGGCCGTGAGGGCCTCCGAGGGCTGTGGGGAGGTGTCAGAATGCCGTGTGCACAATGCCTGGACATGGGAGGCCCCAAGAGGCAGCAGTGATGATCCTGGGCGGAGCTGAGAAATTCCTGAGCTAGGGTGATGGCACAGGGAGGGGAGCCCCCCCGCCCCCCTGCCCCCGGAGGACACACACACTCCCTCCAGATCCCTTCCAACTCCACCCGCCTTCCTGCCGCCTCCTGACATCTGGAAGGCTTAGAGCCAAACGCTGCAGAGCAAACCCCTCTAGCTTCCATCACGGTCTTCTGTCTCCTGACCCAGAGTCCATGGCGTGGGCAGAGCCGAGGTCTGTCTGCTGCCCCTCCGAACACGAGGCTGCTGGCCTTCTTG